GGAGTTGAAAGGCGTCAGAAGCGGAGTTGATAGGCGTCGAGGTGTGTCGGGATTGAAAGCGAGGGACCCTGGGCGGAGAGACGCGCCGGGCAAAGTCCTTAAAGATCGGCGTTCACCACGCCGACGCGGTCGTATGGGAACCAGTGCGAGATAGAACGCACCTCGACGAAGCGAACGACGACGCGTTGCGAACCAGCACGCTGCGATACATTCTCGTCGTTCTTCTACAGTACTACAGCACGCTGCAATGTCGCATCGCGCCGCCGCGGCGAGAACGCCACTCTACCGCTACTCCTCCCTAAACCGCATCGCGCCGCCGCGGCGAGAACGCCACTCTACCGCTACTCCTCCCTAAACCCTCCCTGATCGCGTCACCCGTCCCCGCGCGCTCCCCCCTCGCCGCCGTCGTCGCCGTCGCCGACCTCGGCGTATCGCTCCCTCGCGCCGCCGCCGCCCCGAGAGCCCATCGTCAGGGCCGTTCTATACAAGCGAAAGTCGGGGTGGAGTTGAAAGGCGTCAGGTGGAGTTGAAAGGCGTCGAGGGCGGGGATTGAAACCGTGGCGTGGGCGGAGAGACACGCCGGGAAAAGTCCTTAAGAAACGGCGTTCACCACGCCAACGGGGTCGTATGGGGACCAGTGTATAGAACGCACCTCGTCCGACGCCAAAACGACCGACCGTCGCGCGACCGCGACGGACTCGCAGCACGACGCGTCTTCGTCCTCTCAGCGAATTCCAATTGCACGCTCGCGAGCGACTTCCCTTTCGTCTCCGGCAGCGCGCTCCGCACGTACGCCCCCGCGGCGACGCAGACGAGCGCGACGAGCGCGAACCTTCGCGCCGGGGTGAGGTTCAAAGGCGTCAGGGGTGGAGTTGAAAGGCGCCGAGGGCGGGGATTGAAAGCGGGGGATGGGCGGAGAGAATCGCCGAGAGATAAAGTCCTTAAGGATCGGCGTTCAACACGCGAACGCTGTCGTATGGGGACCAGTGTATAGAACGCACCCCCCCGCGCCCGTCGTCTCCGCGAGCGGCAGAAACGCCGCGTCCGCCGCCGCGCCCGCGGCGAACAGCGTCGACACGCACGCCGCGGTGGCCGCCGCCTGGCGCGATTCGATTCGATTCGATTCGATTCGATTCGATTCGATTCGCCGAGGGAAGACGAACGCGCGTCAGGTACAGTATTCGGGCGCGCGATTGGTGGATAGCATAGCGTAGCATTCCCGCGCGGCGAAACGTGATGAGTTTTTTTGACAGAGCGCAAATCCTCACGGAACGGCGCCCGCCGCGCGAACGGGGTCGTACTGTACTGTATGGGGACCAGTGTGTGTGAGATAAAACGTACCTTGGCGCGCATGGAAAACATCTCCGCGAGTAACACCCAAAACACCCCCGCCCACGAGCACGCGAACGCGAGGACGAAGACGCACAGCGACGCCACCGCGGCGGGCGCGCTCGAGGGTCGTTCCATCGTTCAAAGCGACGTCGGGGTGGAGTTGAAAGGCGTCAGGTGGAGTTGAAAGGCGTCGAGGTGTGTGCGTCGGGATTGAAAGCGAGGGGTGGGCGGAGAGATGCGCCGAGAAGTAAAGTCCTTAAGGATCGGCGTTCACCACGCGAACGCTGTCGTATGGGGACCAGTGTCAGATAGAACGCACCTCGTTGTCCAGCGCGCCACCGCGAGGCACGCCATCGCGACCGCCATGACGTGCGAGCCGTGCACGAGAAGCGGGCGGCGCCCGACGACGTCCACGAGATACGCGGACGCGGCGACGCCTGATTGGTCGAGGGAGAGAAGACGCGTACGCGTGTCAGGTATGCGGGCGCGTGATTGGCAGACGTCATTCTCACGCGGCGAAACGAACGACGACGACGACGACCTGCGAGCTTCGAAGGCGTCGAGGTGTGTCGGGATTGAAAGCGAGGGGTGGGCGGAGAGAGACGAACGCCGGGAGAGAAAGTCCTTAAGGATCGGCGTTCACCACGCCAACGCGGTCGTATGGGGACCAGTGTAAGGAAATCGCACCTGCGAGCTTCGCGAGCGACACGAGCGAGGACAGAAGCACCGCGTCCGCGTCGTCGTCAACGCCGGCGTCCCTGAAGATGACCGGCGCGTAGTTTATCACCGCCGTGCTGCACGTGGCTTGGTTGAACACGGCGAGCGTCGCGGCGATGGCGAACGCGCGCCGCTCGCCGCCGCCGGCGTCGTCGGGGNANANNNANTTGGAGGAGGAGGAGGGGGGGGGAGAGACGGCCGTCGCGCGCGCGAGGTCGCGCGTCATCTGCGCGAGCGCGCGAAGAAGACCGAGACGCGGTCGCGCGAGGTCGCCGGCGTCGTCGCCTTCGCCGCCGGAGCTCGCGTCGTCCGCGCGTCGCGCGCCGTCCCCGTCCCCGCTGTCCCCGTCCCCGTCCCCGTCGTCCCCGTCCCCGTCCCCGCCGTCGTCCCCGTCCCCGTCCCCGTCCCCGTCCCCGTCCCCGCCGTCGTCCCCGTCGCGTTCCTTCTCGACCGCGCTCCACAGCTCCATGAGCTCGAGCTCGACTCTCGAGGTGCTGACGTCTTCGGTCGCGCGCGTCGTCCCCGCGCGCTCTCGAAGCGCGTGCAAGACGCCCAACGCGTCTCGAAGCCTTCCGCGCGTCACGAGCCACCGCGGCGACTCGGGGATGAAAAACGTGGCGCTGCGCGGCGCGGAGAGACGACGGGGCGCGATGGGATTGGTCAGCTCGTGATCAGATTCGCTGACGTGTCAAAACGCGCGGCGAGGGACGACCGACGCGCAGATCCCACGTCCTTAAGGAATGGCGTTCACCACGCGAACGCGGTCGTATGGGGACCAGTGTAAGGAGAACGGTACGCGACGCGAAGATCCCACCACAAGAAGACCGCCGCGGGCGCCGCGGGCGCCGCGAGCATCAACCGCCAGCTCCCGCCATCCCGGCCGGACGCGACGAGCGCGTAGTTCACCAACGACGCGACCACCATCCCGGCGCACACCGCGAGCTCGAACGTGGACACGAGCGCGCCTCGGCGCGCCGCGGGCGCGAGCTCGCCGATGAACGCAGGCGTCGCCACCGCTGAAGGTCGTTCCATGCGAGATGACGTCGGGGTGGAGGCGTTCAAAGGCGTCAGAAGCGGAGTTGAAAGGCGTCGAGGTGTGTCGGGATTGAAAGCGAGGTGTGGGCGCAGAGATGCGCCGGGAAAAGTCCTTAAGGATCGGCGTTCACCACGCGAACGCGGTCGTACGGGGACCAGTGTCGCACCCGACACGCCGATCCCGACGCCGACGAGGCATCGGCCGAGCAGCAGCGCCCACGCCGAGGTCGCGAACGCGAGGCAGACGGGACCGGCGATGAAGAACAGCGACGCGACGCGCATCGCGGGCTTGCGGCCGCGGTCGAGCATGACCGCGCCGCCGAGGATCGCGCCGACGACCGCGCCGACCTTCGCGGCGGCGACGACGAGCGCGACGACGGCGTCGGACATCGGGACGTCGCGTCGCAGGGAGAGAAGCGCGCCGGCGATGACGCCGAGGTCGTAGCCGAAGAGGAAGCCGCCTATGGAGGAGAAGAGCGCGATCGCGAGGAGCATGGCGACGGCGGGGGGGCGGAGGGACGAGAAGCGAGCGCGCGCCGGCGGGCGCGCGCGCTCTGATGAGCGATCTCTCGACGACTTGCAAAGATTTTCATGTCAGATGGTGTACCTTTCAGGTTGTACCTTTCCAACATAAATCGTCTGTCTCTCCCTTCGTCTATTCGTCGTCGTCGTCGTCGTCACCACAGCTTCCAGCCTTCCTCCTTCGGGTGAATCACTATCGGCTTGAGCTCGCGACAGCGCCGCGACACGAGCAGGTGCCGACGCATGCAGTCCTTTTGACGCGTCTCTAAGGGCCATTCCATACAAAAACAGTGCACCGGTCAGTTGAAAGGGGCCCACGCGATCAAATGTTGAAACCGAGCGGTGGGTGAAAAACTTTTGTATCGAACGCACCGAACCCGCGGCCGTTCGCGAGGTACGTGAACTTCTCGTGGTACCCCAAGTCCTGAGAGCGGGGGATACGATACGATACGATACGTTGAAATGGCGTGGAGGGACGCGATTGGTTAGAAATGAAATACACATTCGAGCTGACGTGTCGCTGACGTGTAAAATCGTGCGGTCGAGGATCGCGCGCGCGGACGCACGTGCGGCCCGTTTCTGCAACAATCGCGCCCAGCCCCGTCGCATCGATAAAACGTCACCGGCGCGTTCGTCACCACGCCGCGCCCTTCTTTCCACGCGACGAGGAAAAGGATGATCGCGCTCACGACGAGCAGCGCCGTGATCGCGCCGCCGCCGCCGACGGTGAGGTTATACAGCAGCATCGCGCTGCCCCGGGCGTGCGCCAGCCGCGACGTTCCTGCGACCGGCGGAGAGGGAATACGTCGGGGTGGAGTTGAAAGGCGTCAGAAGCGGAGTTGAAAGGCGTCGAGGGCGGGGATTGAAAGCGTGGGACCCTGGGCGGAGAGAAACGAACGCCGGGAAGTAAAGTCCTTAAGGAACGGCGTTCACATCGCCGACGCGGTCGTACGGGAACCGGCGTGCTTCTCTCACCGCCGACGCCGTCGCCGCCGACGGCGGCGTCGACGACGACGAACGTCGCCGCCGCCGTCGTCGCGCGCCACGAGAGGACGCTCAGCGCGGCGCACTGCGCGCCCGCGATCGCTATGGGGATCGCTTTCCGCTGCGTAGGGCGTCGACCGCCCGTCTCCTCCGCGCGTCGTCGCCCCTCCTCGCGGATCGCTCGCTCTTTCTCTGAGGGTCGTTCCATCGTTCAAAGCGACGTCGGGGTGGAGTTCAAAGGCGTCATCAGGTGGAGTTCAAAGGCGTCGAGGCGTGTCGGGATTGAAAGCGAGGGGTGGGCGGAGAGAGACGCCGGGAGAGAAAGTCCTTAAGGATCGGCGTTCACCACGCCGACGCGGTCGTACGGGGACCAGTGTGAGATAGAACGCGCCCAACTCGCGCGCTCGGTCCACGAGCGCTCGCTCGCGCCCCCTCTCCGCGCGCAGCTCTCGCAGCCGCAGCGCGGTCTCCGCCGCGAGCGCTTCGCGCTGCACGCGCATGACCGCGTCGCGCGTCGTCTCCGCCGCGGCCGCGTCGTCGTCGTCGTCGTCGTCGGGCGTCGCGCCGGCCGGGGCGAGCGCTCCCCGAGGCGGAAGAGATGATGATGATGATGATGATGATGATGATGATGATGATGATGATGATATTTCGCTCGACGCCGAGTCACCGCCGCGACGATGGCGATTTTTCGCGCGCGGACGAACGGCGACGGCGGATCCGCCGCGACGAAAGACGTCGCGGCGCGGAGCGAACGGACGCGAGCGCGCGCGCGCGACGACGGCGCGCGCGTCCGCGAGCGCGAGCGAGGACGCCATGTCGTCGCCCGCGGGGTGAGAGTGACCGGCGAGCTTCGTCTCGATCTGAGTTTTTCGCGCGAAACAACAGAACGTTATGGTAAACGTTCACTTTTTTTCTGCACTTTTTCTGAGGCTGTTCCAACAATCATCGGTCAGTTGAAAGGAGATACAGTACGTGTACGATCAAGTGTTGAAACCGACCGATGGGTGAAATACGTTTGTACGCACCTCTAGCTAGCCTCCTCTAGCTGACCGGTGCGCGTGACGTACTTTCGTACGATGTTAGACTACGTGCACTGTACCTGTACTGTTCGCTCACACGGAGTCGCGACGGCGCAGAGTAGATGAGAGTACAGTACGTGTACACGTGACGTGTACCTTTCGCTGTGTTAATAACGTGGCGTCGCGCGTTCTAGGTTCGACGTCGGTTCAGTCTCGCGCGTCGCGCGTGTCCCTGCTCCGAGATCGAATTCGTCGCGTCCGCCGCGTCCGCCGCCGCCGCGTTCGCGTTCGTCCGCCCGCGCGCGAGCTGCCGCGCGAGCAACGCGTCGAGCGGCGTGCCCCCGCCTCTGCACGTTCGCCCGTCGTCGCGCGTTTTCTTCGCGTTTTCGTTTCCGTCGTCGTTTTCCTTCCCCTCCGCCGCTCTCTCCCTCGCCGCCGCCGCCTTTTCGCGCGACGCCGCGCGTTCCGCGGCGAAAATCTTCGCGCGGTCCGACGCGAACACGACGCCCTCGGCGGCTTTCGCGATCGCCGCCGCCTTTGCGTTTTTCACGCGTTCGCTCGGCGGCTCCACCGGCTCGCGTTCCGGCTCGCGCGCCGGCTCGCGTTGACGTCGTTCCCCTTCCGCGCCGCCCGGGCGCGACGGTTGACGTTCCGTATCCTCCGCGCTCGCCTTCGGGAGCATGAACGCGGTCGCCCACGCGTCGTCATCGTCGTCGCACGCGGTCGTCGTCGCGGCGGCGGCGGCGGCGGCGGCTCGCGTGAACTCGGGGAACTCCCTCGCGAACTTGACCTCCGCGGGGGTGCTTCCGCCGCCGTCGTCGTCGTCGTCGTCGTCGTCGTCGTCGTCTTCGTCGTCGCGCTCGCGCGTGACGACGACGTCTTCGTCGTCGTCGTCGTCGCGGTCCATCGCGCGCGGCGCGTCGTCGAAAAAAACGTCGACGCTCCTCCCGCCGATCGTCTCCTCTCGCTCGCGCTTCGGCGGCGACGGGTGGTACACCGTGGCCTCGAACCGGTCGATCGCGGCGCTCGGGGTGTCGACCGCGGCGGCGTCTTCCGCGGCGGCGCTCGCGGGCGGTCGAAACGAAAAGTAATCCCCGCCGTCGCCGTCTCCGTCGTCGTCGCCGTCGCCGTCGTCGTCGCCGTCGTGACTGGTTCCCATACGACCGCGTTCGCGTGGTGAACGCCGTTCCTTAAGGACTTCGCCGCCCGCGACCCCAAAGTCGAGATCTTCGCGCAGACGCGTAAACACCGTCCCCTTGACGCCGCCGCCGCGCGCGCGCTCGCCGCCCTCGCCCTGACCCTTGAGGTCGTTCACGTCGTTCATGAGCGACCGAACTTTCGCTTCGTACGCGGCGATCATCGCGGCGTGAAGCCCCGCGTCCACGAACGCGGGGAGGGTACCGGACGCGTCGTCGCCGGCGCCGCCGCCGGCGCCGCGGGGACGCGTCAACGCGGACGCTCCTCTCGTCGTCATCCTCGGCAGCTCCACCGCGCCGCCGCGGCTCCGCTCGCACACGAGCGTCGACAGCCGTCGCGCGAGCTTCTCGCGCTCGATGTCCTTCCTCCGCGCGTCGCGCTCGTGCCTTTTCATCGCGTCCTCCGCGCGTTGGATCCGCGTCCTCGCGTCTTCGCACTCCGCGCGCGCGCGCGACAGCGTCTCGTCGCTCGCCGCGCGCTCCATCTCGCGCCGCTCGCGCTCGATCCGGCACGCCGCGAGCGCTTCCTCGCGCGTCGCGACCGCCCTCGCGCGCGCGCCGCTCTCCCTGGCGAGGTCCGACTTGAGCGCGCGTCGCTCGCGCGCGTGCGCCTCGCGGACGTCCAGATCTTCGCGTCGGTCTCGCGTCAGGCGATACAGGACGTCGCACACGCGCGCGAGGTTCTCCGCGGTCGCCTCCTCCGGCGCGAGCGCGATCGGCGCGGGGTACCCGAGCTCGCGCAGCGTGCGGTTCAGGTACGGCACGCACGCGCGGAGCGTCGCCGCGGTCGCGAACGCGTCGTCGTCGTCGTCGTCGTCGTCGTTCTCCCCGGAGACGCCGCCCCGGGGGCGACGCGCGTAGTGCTCGGACTCGATTCGCGCGTGCGCGCGCGCGGCCGCGGGGGGGGTGCCGCCGATGACGTCGGGGTCGTGCGCGGCGAGCGGCATCGTGCCGCGCCGCGCCGTGCCGTGCCGTGCCGTGCCGTGCCGTGCCGTGCGCGCGCGACGACTGAGCGCGGGGGGGGGGGGGGGGCCCCTGCCCAAT